AAAAAAAAAAAAAATGGCCCTTAAATCAATCCCTTTAATCATCGCAATCCTCTCGTTTCTGTTCGCGTCGGCCGCCGAGGGAGCCTCCGGTAGAGGTGCCCTCGTCGGCGGCTGGAAGTCGATCGAAGATCTGAAGGACCCGGAGGTGGTGAGGATCGCCAAGTTCGCGGTGGCGCAGCACAACAAGGAGGCTAGTACCAATCTGAGCTTCGTGGACGTGGTGAAGGGCGAGTCGCAGGTGGTATCGGGCACCAATTACCGGCTGGTTATCTCCGCCGTCGACGGTGGCGCCGGCGCTCCTCGGAATTACACCGCGGTGGTGTGGAGCAAGCCCTGGGAAAAATTCGTGAAGCTAATTTCGTTCAAATGATGGATTTAGTTTGTTTGTAAGTCTATAATCAGACTTTGTAATTGGGTACGAGGCAATAAATCTCTGAGATTTGCAGCAATAGTTTTAATTTTGGATAAGTTTGGTTTTTGGAGGAAGTTTATTTTGGTTATTGTTTGTGTGTTTATCCAATTTTCATTTCAATATTTGTTATATAAGTAGTGTTGATACCCAATAAAAAGAAATATTTTTTATTTAGATATTATAAAATTATTTAAGACAATATGAAATTCTATTTTTCACAATATCCTATTAAGTAATAATATGATATTTATTTGTTTATTATTGTTGTTAATTTTTATTTATATATATATATATGTATATTTATATTTTTTTAATATTTAATATATAATTTTTATTATTTATTAGTTTATAATATATTATAAATGTATAAGATCATATGATATTTGTATACAAATTACTTGTATGTATTGATAAAATTACCGTTTATCAAGTCTTATAATATTTTCAATAATTTATAATTTGCGCAAGCAGATGACTGACTAACGTTTAACCCATAATATTTATATTACGTTATAATTATTAAATGCATTAAATGTTCAAAACTTTGATAAATAAAATTTTAATTTTTAGTAACTTTAATTCATATGCAACACAAGAATCTTTATGGTTAAATATTTTATTTTTATGTTTTCATTTTTATTTATATTTATTTCTTTAATTCATTTTTTCAACCTATTTAATGAGTTACATGTATCTATTTGGATATTTAGATATATTATATATTTCCATTATTACCAAGTGCTATACTTTATATTATTATACATTTTTTTTATAACGTATTATTTTTTTTTATAAAATAGTATATAAGAAAAAAAAATATTTTTAAAAATTGAATAGTTTTTTAATGTACGTAGATACATCTAAGGTGAAATTTATAATTATGAATTGCACACGACCATCAAAATTTATTTTTATTAATACATTATTTAAATTTTCATTAGTATTATATGATATATTCAATGTGATGTACCTTTTTATAGTTAACATGACTACATTTTTAAAAACTTTTATTAATATTTTAAAAAATTTATTAAGTTATTATGATTTAAATATAGTTATTCTTATTATTTTATTAAATATTTTAGGTATTTATAAATAGTGAATATAATTAATTAGATTAATACCTACAACCATAGATGATAATATATTTAATCAAATCAATTTTCATAAATGAATTGTATCAATAAATTACTATTAAATTAATGTAAGATCCTATTGAAAATATATCAAATAAATCTAGTCAAAATTTCAATTTAAGCCAATTTGTAGTTAATGAGTAACAATCATTGAGTGTATAAAAAATAATAATGTTTTTCATACATAAGATTTGCTAATAGGGATCAGACCAAAATGGGTCCGGATCTCCTGTGGGAATGATTTGGAAGATCCAAAACCAAAAATGGTGGTAAATAAATATTAATCAAATGCCAAATTTAGCCAAAAAAAATTTTCCACCCAAAATCATGATAATTATACAATAAAGATTGGTTCATTATATATATAGATATAGATTAGTTATAATTTGAATATTTAATACTGTTATGAAGCATTATTCGGTGGAGGAATCAACTATAAACAAAAACAACTTAAATATAAAATACATATATGATACTTAGACATGACCACGGGCCGAACCGGCACGTGGTCCGACCCGCAAACCGTCACCGCCCGGCCCGAACTGGCCTCCTAAGGACCAGTTCGTTGAACTGGAACCGTAGGGCCGCGGTTCGGTCCCGGTTCTATTTTTTTTTTATTTTTGTCCCGTCGGACCGGGCCGGGCCAAATTCTTTGTTTTTCTTAAGGGCCGTACCGGCCCGTGAACCGGCCCTTGGTTCTTAGTGGGCCGGTCGCGGTCCGGGTGTTGGAGGGCTCGTGGCCCGTCACCTGGTCACGTCTAATGATACTTTTTGCGAAAGGTAAATATAAAATCTAAATAATTTTATGTGAGATAATCATAGAGTCGTCA